ATGGTCTTTCGAGTGTACTCGTTTGATTGGTTCCAAACTGGCTGGAATGCAGTTAGTATAAAAAACACAGATTCGTTTTCCTGCTAGCTTGGTTTTCTAAAACGTTCTCTTCTTGAAGAACACTCTGGCCAGGCAAGTTCTCTTTATTTTTTTAAATAATTTTTGTGCTTTGAATTTTTGGATCCTGCCCTATAGATTTTTCAATATTCAAATTATCCTATCTTTATTAAGTTTTTACTGATAAACCTTATCTTATCTGTTTTTTGAAATATAAATATTATACTTTAATTTTTTTTATCTAATTGTAAGCTTCCATTTTGTGTGAATTACTTTGTTTATTGGTTAGTGCCACGTTTTGTTATAATTGGTAAGTCAAGACAAGACAGTTCAGTTTTAAATAGTTCCTGCTGTTCTGGCTTTCAGAATCAATTTTTAGTGTAAGAAAACTGGACCATTTGCTCTAAATAGAGTCGGTGAAAACCAAATTTTTGAGTCCATCCCTATTAATCCTTTATTGAATCCAGACAGAGGCCTGAACAGCCATTTTCTGCTTGACTCCTTAAATTATTATCTTAACTAAAGGGTGTAATTTTTTAATAGAAATACAGACAGGTCAAAAATTCAGTTTAAAAGTTTTAATTAAAACATCTCAAGAATTTTGACACATTCTGGATTTAATTAATTTCAACCCTAGGTTTATCTAGTATCTGTGGTAGCTAACTTGATTCGAGGGAGAATTTTGTCTATTTGGGGAGGAATCCAGACATTTGATATCTTATTTTTTTTTTTTACCTGATTTTTGCTCATATTTTTGCCGGCCAGAGCTGTTTTCAAGGAAGCAGCATTTTGCTCGATTGTAACGAGCATTCTAATTTATTCTTGTTATTACCTTATTTTTTTTTCTATTATCTTACGATTGATTTTAATTATTCAAGTACCTAATTGTTTTTTTTTATAATAAAATATAATTTTTTTAACTTGCAATAACTGTTCATACCTGATTCTGTTGGAAGGGAGTGTCTGTATAACAATCATTTTGTACTAAATTTCAATTTCAATGTCCTTTGCAAGACACTCACTCTTTCGACAGAATTCAGGGATTTAATATTCCAAATATTGGTGAACCTGATACTGCTTTATTCTTTTCTGGGTACCTACTCTACCTAAAGATCACTGTTTCGAGTCTGGATCAGCTGGAGTGACGTCACCACACGAAAGTGAAACCCCAACACCCATTGAACAGCTCCAGATTGGAAAGGTACATACTAGGTATCAGATTCACCAGAACAACCAAGCTGTCAGCAGTGACATTTTACATAACATTGTATGTACACTAAATAAAATTATTGTTTGTTGGATTTTTGAGTGGTTTCATTTGCACATAAAGAGACTACACGTTATCTTAATTTTTCTTTGAATTCACGACCCTAGGTTATCTTTATCTTAAAGTATACAAATCTGGTTAATTTGTAACAATGTCCATAGCCTTTATCACAACACAATTTGAATAGTTTCACCGCATACTTATGAGTTTTTTGCGGAATATACTGCTTCATTATTACCGCTAAAAGGGACTAATGTTTCATCCACACAAACGACTTGTCCGGGCGTATATACTTCATGACAGTTTTGTATAAACATGTCCAACAATGGCTGAATTTTGTATAGTCTCTCGCCTTCCCGACAATTGGTATTGTCACTAAAATGCCACATTTTCAGCAGTAATTTAAATATATTGCGACTCAAGGCTTGAGCAATAGGACTTATGTGAAATAATGGATTTTTTGACCAATAATGTCTAATGGTTGGCATATTTACCATACCAGTGTAACATATTACTCCCACAAACTTTTTCATTTCTGCTTTAGTAGTCGAGGTCTATTTACGTAAACGTGACTCGAACTCGGAATATCTGTATCTTGAATAAAGGCTTGAGTCTTGAGTAGCGTACAAATTGGTTCGTTGTACCATCTCATCTAGCATTTTGTCATCCACGAAAAATGACCAAAACTCTACTGGCGATGCTTCTATAAATGCCGCGAAATATTCTGGCTTGATCCCAGTATTGCAACAAAGATCAAATTGCAAATGCTACCTTGGGGATCTATCCAAACTTCTTCCTGATAATTCTGATATCCATTGTTATTAGCAGTCGGTGTATCTTCTTGCGGAGAATCATTTGGAGAGTTTATTGGCGCTGGAACACTAACGGGATCTTCTTCCTGTTGTTGCTCACTTTTATTACTGGCTACCGTATGTCTGGCTAAACCCCAAATGTTTTCTGGCTCACTAGAGCTGGCAGAATCATCACTTGCAATATATTCTGGATCATCCAAGGAGTGTGAACCAAATGGTTTTGAATCGGAGTCTTCTTCGTCTTCCTCACTCGGTATACACTGTATTGCCATTCGAATAATACGTCTGGTACGTTCACTCACATATTTTTCAGCCATTTTGATAAAGCCACAATAAAAATACGTGCTTCGCCTAATAATAAACAAGCTAGACTAAAATGGTGGGAAATTGCGATCTGGCGCCATGCCACAAACACCTGCACAAACATGACCGATATCGTGACCGCTGACTAGAATTGCAATGAATCTTCCTGTAGGTCCACGGCGGTCACCAGTGACCGCCCTAAATTTTTCTCCAAAAATATGCTAAATAATGAAAAAAACATATAAATATATTTACTTATACCAAATATAAGCATAATAGAGTAGAATAACGAAATTGAAAATAATGGTCCCTTGAACAAGTTTAGCGATTTTGCTGTAGAGCTTAACGTGTTAAAGCACAGAACAATCACCTCTAGAAAAGTATCCGCAATGTTACGTACCGGTATTAAGGTCACTAAATCCGTCGGCAATTTTGCCTGGATAGGTAGCGACAAGTTAATGTCACAATTTTTAAAAAAGAGTCAATAGTGTCAAATTTGATTATATCATAAACGTCCGCTTTTTTGATTAATTTTTATTAATTCGAAAAAAAAAAAATATTTTTTTTTTGCTGTGTCCCGGGCTGTTCTAATTCTAGCCGCAAAGGACTTGCTGTTTATCAAGTCCCAGAAGGTAGGAAGCTTAGTTTGTTGTTAAGAAACATATATTTTTACCATGATGGTACGAATCTAGAATTTTTGAAGGCAATTCGTAATTTTACCAGATTCTAATGGTTTTAATGTTAATTTTAATAGGAGTTCGCAATGGACCTAGAAGAGAACGGTGGCTTAACAATCTTGGAATTACAGCAAAAGATACGCAACGATAACCCTGGGAACCCTGGCTGACACCAAATATTAGAGTTTTTATGAGACAGAGAGACAGGGCACTTCGTGATTTTAAGAGAAACCGTGCAATACAGCAGTGGGATAACTACAAGAGACTAAGAAACTTCACGTTATCAATGATAAGAAGGGAAAAAAGGCAGTACTTGGACAATACATTTGCAGAAATTTAAAAAAAAAAAAAAACCTGGAAGACCCTGAAATCGCTTAATGTAAGCTCAAATAAGGTAACTAATATTCCTGCAAATTTACTTGACCCTAATCATATAAGCTCGTATTTTCGTGAATTTTTACAAACTATTTCTGACTGTTCTTCCAAAATAAACTTTTACAAACAAAATGTTTTCAACAGGAACCAATTTTCTTTTAATTAGGCAACCGTCGCTGAAATTAATAAAATAATTAATAATATCAGTATAAACGCTTCAGGGGTGGATGGTATTAATGCTAAAATGTTAAAATATTGTAGTCCCTTTATAGATGTTTTCATTACACATATATTCAACTGCTGTATAGAGCAAAATTATTTTCCTGATCAGTGGAAAATATCTATAGGTAAACCATTACCCAAAGTGAAAAATCCAACTAATGTTAGTGACCTAAGAATAATTAGTATCTTACCTGTTCTTTCAAAAGTTTTTGAGAAAGTATTATATAACCAGTTAATTCAATATTGCAATGCAAATAAAATCAATCCACAAAGTCAGTGTGGCTTTAGAGGGGATCTGAGTACTGGCGTTGCCTTAGTTACTGTTACTGATGACATAATAACTTCTCTTGACAAAAAGTTGTCCACTGCACTGGTGCTTAGGGATTTTTCTAAAGCGTTCGATACTATTAATCATGAACTTTTGTTGGCAAAGCTCAAATATTTTGGATTTCAAGATCAATCGACGGATCTTATAAGATCTTATTTTCAAAATAGATATCAAAAAATATATTCTAACAACGCTTTTTCTGAAGAAGCACAGATCTTGTCCGGTGTGCCACAAGGCTCTATTCTTGGACCCCTACTGTTCATTATTTACACATCTGATATACTTACGTCATTAAAATACTGCAAATTGCAGGCTTTTGCAGATGAGACTCAGGTTTATTTTAACTTTGATCATCAGGATTATTTAAATGCTTCTGCTTTAATAAATCATGATATAAATATGTTGAAAAAACTCTCTTCTGAACACAATCTTAAACTAAATCCTTTAAAGTCAAATGTTATGATATTTGGAGTTTCTCAAAAACAATTTAAATATCATGTTGGGAGACGTATCTCTTCCTGGGGTTAATTGTGCGAAAAATTTGGGCGATGTTTTGGACACTGAGCTTAGGTTTCGTGAATACGTTAGATTATTAATTAAAAAGGCATTTTTATCATTGAAAATACTTTATAATAACCCACACATTCTCAATTTCAACATGCATAAAATGCTTTGTGAATCTCTGGTCCTATCAAACTTCAACTATTGTGATTTCATTTATGGCCCATGCTTAGACATCAATGACAAAAACCGCATACAGAAAGTACAAAACTCTTGTTCACGGCTTATATTTGGATTACGTAAATACAATTCTTCGTTTAAGGTGATGCTTCAGTACCTTGGCACCGGCTTCCCACAAGCCACCAAAATGAGGAGCTCTGGGTGGAATATAATGCCAGGAAATTGCGTCACTAGCCAAACTACGAAAAATTTTGTCACCTTGAATTTTGAAAAAATCCTTAACTCTTTAGGCATCACGGGTACAAATTTTGTACCACCCTTCTCACCTCGGCATAGCGGCGGCGGTTCATATAGTAGACCTCCAATCTAATACAGTTTGACTAGTGTATATGTGGTTTATTTCGTGAACCACCTTTATTCCAGGATGGTTTTGACTTGTTGAAACAATTCGCGCATGGCTATTGGCCTTGGATTAGTTCAGAAAGCTATTATAGGTCTAGTAGAAATGTAAACAAATGAAATTCCAGACGAATCATAATAAAATAATTATTAATTACAATTTATAAACAAATTATCAATTGATGTTGTGCATATACCTTCTGGTAAGTGTATGTAATTATTTTTTTGTTTTTGTTCCCAAAAAAGGCTAATATTTGGTGGTACGAATTTCCTACCACTGCCACTTGTGATGATATTTTGATTCTTATATTATTTTAGAAAAATGTCAAGACGAGAAGTAGATGAACTACCGTTTCGACTAGTAGATATGAACGTTGATAACTTATATACAGAGCTGGATGATTTTTATGATACAGCAGAAGCAGAGCCAATACCGTCGGATGCGGAGTCTGAAGTAGACATTTTTGATGTTGAAGAAGAAATGCCACCTGACAATGGTAATGACATGCCAATTTCGGATTCTGAAGATGAAGTCGACATACCTTTATTTGAGCTGAAAGCAAGACTCACCAATAATTTACCGCACAATGCACCCTTGTTGAACCCAATTTATAATCCTCCAAAATAATATAACGACTTTAGACCTACACCGCCACCAATCATCTAAACATCAACCTGAAGGTAGCTCCAGAAGAAGATGTGCTTTGTGCAGCACGAAAGCAAAACAAATAAGAACAGAATGGATTTGTACCATATGCCAAGTACCTCTCTGCTTGGGAAAAAAAAGGACATGCTTCCAAACATACCATAATTCTTGAATCTCATTAACTTTTATTTAAAAATACGGGATTTGAACAACAAAATATGCACTTTTCAAGTAAAGGCCTATAAATTATTATTACACCCCAAACGGTCTGGTGGTACACATATTGTACCTCCCGTATTATCAAAAAAAAAAATACATATTCTTGAGAAAAAAATATTTTTTTTATTAGTTAGGAGCTTTTTTTTAAAGGAAAATTTGTTAATTCAGTTTATTTTGAATAAAATGTGTTGTGCTCCACTTGGACTTTTTTTTATCCTATATTTCTGTTGTGAATCTGCACCAACAAAATTTGTTCCATTATCAGAGAACATGTTAGCTGGTTTTCCTCTTCTAGCTACAAATCTTTTAAAACAGGCTAAAAATGAATCACTTGACAAATCTGTTATCAACTCTAGATGGACAGCTTTTGTGGACATAGAAACAAAAATGCAAACCCACGCCTTTGTTAGACAAGGTTTTCTAGTTTTTTCTGTCCTTTAAAATAAAAGGACCTGCAAAATCGCAAGCAGTGTTTAAAAAAGGAGTAAATTGATTTACTCTTTCAGATGGTAAATTGCCCATTAAATATTCACCTATTTTGGGATTAACCTTAAAACAAATGATGCAATTGTGAACTATCTTTCTAGCTAAACTACGTCCTGAAATTGGCCAGTATGAAGATCTAACAGAATATAATAATTGCTGCGGGCCGCAGTGTAGCATACGTTCATGTTCATCAGTCAAAATCATAGTTGTTAGAGGATGTTTATTATGTATTATGTTTCTGATCATACGGCACATTTGCCGCTTGAATTCTTCCACCAACCCAAATTAAGTCATCTCTCATGAAAGGATTCAAAGATTTTAAAGGACTTGATTTTTTAATAATGTTATGTTTTCGCAAATGTTCATATTCTTCAGGGAATAATTGTCTTTGTGAAATTTTAATTGAAAGTAATAAAGAATTTTGCAATTCTGTCGCTGTTAGAGGTCCTAATGCTCTCGACTTTATATTTTTGCAATTGAACATAAAACGTCTCCAAATGGCTATGACTCGTTGCAATTTTTGAAGTGAAGAATATTTTTTGAAAATGTCTTCAAAAATGTTCGAATCAACAGGTATAATTGCTACTGAGCATGTGGTGCGTTGCTCTGGAATTTCAATTACATCATTACTGTTTAATTTATCACTATAGTACCATTGTGATGGATTTAATTTTAGCCAATTTGGCCCTTCCCACCACAATGTATTATTCACAAGTTGGGTCGCTGTAGTGCCGCGAGACATAACATCCGCAGGGTTATGTTCAGATTTAATATGATACCAATTTTTTGTGTCCGTGTTTGATTGTATGAAACAAACACGATGCGCGACAAAAACCTTCCATCTATCTGGAGACCCATTAATCCAATGTAAAGTTACCATTGAATCACTCCAACAGAATATTTCATAATGCTCTAAATTGAGAGAATTTATAACCTTTTGAGACAATTTTACTGCCAAAACTGCTGCACATAACTCAAGCCTTGCTAATGTTAATGTTTTCTCCTTGATAGGAGCAACTTTTGACTTTGCACAAATTAATCTGGTGTAAGTCTGTTCTACATGCGTACTTCTCACGTAAGCGCACGCGCCATATGCCTTTTCGGATGCATCAGCAAAAAAATGCAATTGTACGGAATCAGGGTTATGAATAAAAACATGTCTAGGAATTGAAAGTGAGTGTAAATTAGGTAAATTATCACATAAACTTTTCCACTTTTCGCTTAATTGTTTTGAAACTTCTTGATCCCATGTAAGTTTTTCCTTCCATAGCAATTGTGAAATTAGTTTTGCATTAATAACTACCGGCCCTACTAGCCCCAAGGGATCGAATATTTGACTAGTTATTGATAAAATAAGTCTCTTTGTCACGATTGGGCTATTGTTAATGTCCCGTATGTGATATAGAATTACATCTAAATTGGCATTTCAATATATGCCCAAAATTTTATTTTGTTCAGCTTCTCCTAACTGTAAAACATTGGCCTTTAACCCGTCTATAACTTCAAACTTGTCACATAATTCCGGTTTATTACATACTTACCCATTTCCGCAATTGTAATCCCGCCCCATTTAATATACTTATAATCTCACGTTGTGATTTTAGTAGCTCAAATTCTGAGTTCTCTCCTGTTAGGAGATCATCAACATAAAAACAATTTTTAATTATATTAGAAGCAGCTGGAAATTTAATTTCATTATCGATGGCTAGTTGTTGTAAACATCGTATTGCTAAATATGGAGCCGAGGCTGTTCCATAAGTTACAGTATTTAATTGGTAACATTTTAATTTTTCTTTATCGTTACTTCGCCAAAAAATACGCTGAAATCGTCGCTGTTCGGGATTTATAAAAAATTGACGGTACATTTTTGAAATATCGGCACTCATAACAAAGGCATGTTTTCGAAAATTGAGAAGGATTGTAAATAAATCATTTTGTATTGTAGGCCCATGTGTTGTACATCATTAAGTGATAAGTTACTATCTGTTTTTGCTGATGCATCGAAGACAACGCGCAGATTTGTAGTGAGGCTGTCTTTTACAATCGCGTGGTGTGGCAAATAATATGCGTTACAATCTTCAAGATTATCTAAACTATCTGAAATTTCTGTCATGTGTCCTAAGGTTAAATATTCGGTCATAAATTCTATGTATTTTTTCCTCAAATCGTCATTCTTTTGTAAACGTCTCTCCAAAAGATCGAAACGTCGTAATGCAATATCTTTTGAATGCCCAAGCTCAATTATATTGTCTTTAAATGGTATTTTAACTATAAAATGTCCAGTATCATCGCGGCAAAAATTCCCTTTAAAATGTTTATCACAAAAATTTTCCGGCTTGGCAACATTATAACATTTTTCTATTTGCCAAAATTTTATTAAACTTTCGTTGAGAATTTTCCAAATCACCGTATGCCCTTGCGTGGCACGAAATTAATTTATTAGTACTAAAAAACGAAAACCCGATTTCACCGCCCAAAATCCAACCAAGTCTAGTATTTTGAAGCGTTAATGATTGCTCTAATTTTATTTGGTTCATTAGCAAAATGTCATAAAATAATCCAACACCGCATAAAATGTATATTTCTCCTTTTTTGTAAAAGTCCGGATCTGCCATTTCAATGGTTTTCGGTATGTTCAAGAAACTTGGATTAAAATCTACAATGGGAATTGGTTGAGTTATTTTATTCATTATTAAGCACGATAATAATTTGGAAAAATCTCCTTTAATTGAAAATATCTTAATTTCGGTTTTATATTTCGCTGCTAAAGAATTATTTCCTACACCTGAAATAAGAAAATTGGCTGCTAATCTTTTGGCACCTAGTTTATTGAAAAATTCTTGTGTTATGAAGTTGCTCTGAGAGCCAGGATCTAATAAAATACGTGCTTTTATGTTGTTACCCCAATTATCTTTTATATTTACCATTGCCGTGGATAAAATCGCGTAATTGTTTGTAAAATTAGCCGAGTGCGCAGCAACGTTATTTTGCGTTGAAATAATATTTGAATTGTCTGTATGTTCTGAGACGCTTGATGATGCGCTGTCCCCATACTCACCATGGACCCCCGCTGAATCGGTCTGAATACACCTAGTTAACGCCGGTGTTGCCGATGTTACAGGGGCAACATTGTCTGATTTGTGCCGAAAGTCTTGGTGCAACAATGAATTATGTTTTCTTGAACAGATTCTACATGCAGATTTATCACATTGAGTTACATTGTGGTTGGGGTTTAAACAATTAAAACACAATTGTAGTCTTTTTGTTTTATTAATTCTTGTTGGCGTGTCCTTTTTGATAAAGAGCTCACACTTATAAATTGTATGTTCACCTTTGCAATAAAAACAATTTAGCCTTTTATTCTGTTCCGTCTCTGTGTAATAAGATTGAGCATTGTTTTTGGAAGGCATAGGTCTTCGTTGATCGTTTCTGTGAGTGTCTAGATTTTCGAGCAATTCGCATTTACCTTTTAAAAAATGGTTCATATCGGCCATTGTAGGCAAATCATTTGGAATTTTAAAAGATTCCCGATCGCGTTTAGTGCGACTATCAAATTTACCAACTAATAAAAAAATTAATAAAGTGTCCCAGTACTCTGTGGGTTCACCGAATATTTTTAGAGACCTTATATTTTTATTAAAATTGTCATAAAGTTTGCGTAATTCAGAATGTGATTCCCTAGTCATTGCAGGAGCGTCGAATAAAGCCTTTACATAATTATGGATAATTAATTTTTTGTTTTCGTATCGTTCTTTTAGAATGGACCATGCTAAATTGTAATTATTGCCTGTTACCTGAATTGACTCTAACAACTGTGCAGCTTCACCCTCTAGAGATGATCGTAAATAATAGAACTTTTGTACGTCATCAAGTGATTGATTTTTGCCTATTAAAGATATAAACGCGTCTGCGAATTCGAGCCATTTCTCACATGACCCTGTAAAAGTAGGTAGCTTTAAGGATGGTAATTTTACTGAAAAATTGCCCTGAGGATTTTGAGGCACAACCTGAGGTACAAATTGAGGTATTTGATTATTGCGCAGGGCGAAAATATTCTCTTGATATTCATTGATAATGCTAGAACTATTTCCAAATAACAAAAAATAGGTATTTTCAAATTTATCTCTTTCTGAAAATTCCCTTTCAAGCTCCTCTCTGTCAACATTTTCCGTAGTTTGCAATATCAGTTCAATATCTTCCTGAAGCTCATTAAATTCCTTAAATACTAGCTCAAATTTTGATAACCTTATTTTTAATTGATTGATTAAATTATTATCTTTATTCAAGTTATAAATTGAATCAAGAAATGTTTTATGCCTTGTCAAGGCACCTTTACACACACCTCTTTTTATTATAAGCCTAGATAGATCAGACATTTTTCAAAATATTCAACGCTTTTTATTTTTTAATCGTAAAAAAAAATAATTTCTTATGAATAATGGTAATACTTTGTCCGTCACAGATTACAAAAATCGTTAAATTATAAAAAAATTGTTCAAATTATGTTTTGGTAAAGAATCGAATGGTAAAATACACTGAAAAAATCGTCAAAACATAAATTTTTTATATACACAATCGTCAAAATACAGAATATTGTCA